CGATTTCCCCAAGTTCTCCACTTTCATCGCACGCACCAAACGCCCACGAAATGTCCCAATGTGGGGGACCCCTCCTGGTGCAATCAGTCACCAGAGTCGGCGAGGCTTTCCGAAACACATAATTAGCATGATTATTAATAAAAATTAGTTTTTCATTATTAGTTTAATAATTTTCGTTATTCGTACAATCCCCATAGGCGTGGGTTTAAGGGCTGAGACGACAAGGGCATGTTGTGTCACACTATCTGTATTCTGTTTTTCGATTTAAAGCTTTCGTGACTGCAGGGATTCATCTTCTTGGTTCTTTCGGTAAAGTCACGTAGAAGGGAAATTATAAAATAATACAAATATAACATAATACATTTTATTCTGTTTTATTTTTATTATTTTATTATTTCCCTTCTACGTGACTATCTGTATTTTGTTTACTTTTCTTTGACCAATAAAAAAAAATCATCCGTTTTGTCTATTGTCTGCTTGTTGTCCAAGTCGCTAAAGCAGCCAGCGATGCACGTTTTTTTTATAATTTGGTCCATCGCCATCATCAGCCATAAGTCTACCCACTGCTGAATCAAGGGCTCTCTCTTTCCCTCGCGGCCCTGCGAAGCCACAATCCATCTCACTGCTGCACCAGACCCGTTCTCACCGCTCCACCGCTACAGCAGTTGTGTCCCCCGCCCCCCCCCCCTTGGCACGCCGCATGACACGGGGGGGGGGGGGGAGCTGCCACTCGCCATCCAGCAGCAGAATAAAACAAAATGAAACAAAACGCCCGCTCGCGTACACAATTCTGACGCTGTCTTCCGCTCGACACGTCAACCCCAACTCCCCCCCCCGCACAGACGCCGGCAACAAGACCCCACTGACAGCCTTGCGGCTTGCTTGGGGCGCATCGCTTTGTTTTTTAAAAAACAAAAAATAAACTGGGAACGCGAGCGAAAGGCCCCGGCGACGAAGGGGTTAAGTGCTCGAACGGCGCAGTCTGCCCGGCCATCTCTGCCAGACCATCTGCCTTGCGCAGTAGATCATCAATCGGAGCGAGCAGCATCCGCAAGTGCCGTCGCGCGCTTCACACATTGGGACACCGCGAGCCGCCGCCGCTGCCGCAAATGGATGGTGCGATGCCACGTGCTATTACCCACGTAATAAAGCAGCCATCCGCTGGCCCTGGACAAACAAACATCACTCCCCTCCTCCCCGCCCCTCCACGACAGCCTCACCTCTGACACACATCTCTCTCTCTGTATCTGTCCGCTTGGCCAAGCGGGCCAAAGAAACGGCGATCCCCCCCCCCCCAGCCTCTTTCCGCAGATAGAGCTGCGCTTGGGATCTACAGCAAAACGGAGACATGGGCAGAAACTATCAATGTACATCGTGATTTACAGGGCGCTTCAAAAAAATGTTAACACTTACATGTGACTATCGTTTTTTTAATGGAAAAGGAACAGATAATGCACTGTAACATGAGAACAAATGTTATGTTAATAGCTTCAAAAAGTCAAAGAGTCTCCCAATTGTTCGCCATCGTTGTCAACGCGTGCCTGGAATCTTCTCCAGGTGGTCCTCCAGAGCCCGGAGGCACATTTCTTGTGGTATTGTTGCAAATTCTCAGAAGTGTTAAAAAATGTTTTTTTTTTTAAAGAACCCTGTTGTATATAGATGTGTTTCGCGTACAGGAGCATCGAGAGCGGCAGTGGTGCAGTAGCTGGCGCATTCCCGCTGTGAGTCCCAACGATGACCTGAGTTCGATTCCTGGCCATGTCATGGGGGTCTCTCCTAGGTCGACTCAGCCTTAAGCGAGTACTTTGGCGCGATGTGAAAGCATCAGCAATGTGGAGACGGAGATGGCCGGGGGTGTGTTTTTGCTGGTCACACCACTCCCTCATGTGCCACGCCTGCCTTTATAGAGTATTTGGCTGTTATAAATGTCCACGTGATAAGCCACTTTCGTTGAGCTATGATTTATGAAAGCCAGGTCGCTTCTGAAAAAATAGCTACATAGCTCAGTGGGCCTTATCTGGTAAAAAATATATATATTTAGTGATCCTTTGGCAAGGCGCTCTTCCCCCTCCAACCCAGCTTAAATATGCGCTGCCAATCCTGGTGGTGTTCATTCAGACGCTGTCTTTCCGACAGACCTGTTCTTCACCTGAGGACGGCTGCTTGCGTTGTGGCCGAAACGTCGTGAGAATTATTTTATTATGTTGTATTTTTTAAATTGTATTATTTCCCTTCTACGTGACTTTACCGAAAGAACCAAGAAGATGAATCCCTGCAGTCACGAAAGCTTTAAATCGAAATATATATTTAGTGAGTTACGCGTTAGTTAATTTTTGATGACTAACAGCACCTCCCACAGCAGTCTTTATGAGGCTATACGGGGGATATTTGTCACTGCATCTACATTCTGGGTCTGATTAATGCGTTGGCAAACGTGCAATTTTGTCCAATCCTCTTGGTGAACACGTGCCAATGTCTCCATCACATACAATGGGGCAAATCGCCAAAGGTGTTTGTGTGGCCGTTACGTTAAAGATTTTACTCTGCCACGGTCTGTCCGTTCGTGTGTTCTACAGATGTGCGTGCGCGCGAGTGCAAGGTGTGCACTTACATCCTCCGTAAATTGAATGCTCAAGCCCACCGGCGCAATCAAATATCAATTGCAGTAAATTTGTAAGGATTTATTTTAATTATCGTTGGATGTATGCGGCGGCACCGCGGTACGAGCCGCGGAAAATGTTGGCATATGTCCACTTATGGGAATTAGGCAAAATATGTTCGGTGTGCGGCGTTATGATTTGAACTTTTCCCAGCGGCACACGATGTCAGCAGCTCGTGGAGATGAAGGCCGATCGTCGCTGCGTGCAAACAGAGAGGAATCCGGTGCACAAACAATAATCAGCGATGACAGTTTTAGCTGATCGGCAGCTCGGTTGTGGAGAGGTAAAGCGTGGGTGCGTGCACCTCTTCCGAGATGCCTGGCCAGCGTGAAATAGTTGGCCAAAATTCCCCCGGGGAAGGTGTTCTCTCTCTCTCTCTAGAGTATCCCTCGAAGAGCAGGGCGGCTCGGCAAACCGAAATAACAACAAGAGACATTTTTGTTGCTGTTTGTTTTCAAATTCTGTAAAAAAAAAAAACTCAATATTTCAATAGTCGCGACGCACGTGGGTGAACACGAGACGGTCGGGGTCCTTGATAAAAAAAATGATGTCTCACGAAGGTTGCCGACCCCTGCTCTGGAGGGAGGTCCCCTTCTGCCAGTAGTCGCACGAGCGAGCAATTGCAGTGCTGCACCTTTACTTTTTTTACAATACCGTCCAGAGCCTTCAATGTACGCGAGACAGACGGCATTTGATTGGCCTTCTCGAAGCCACGACGACATTATAGCACGCGCGCACGCGCAACACACGCATGCACACAATCTCTCCAGTTGATATCTCCCGCTCATCATTACGGCCACCATCTATTTTCCAAACTGCATGTTGGAAGCGTGCAAATATATGTATATAAATCGGAACACAAAAAAAAGGAGATAGATGGAATGGGAGCGGGAGAAGAAAACTCGCCCAGAGAGCTCAATGATTTACATCGGGCACGGCAAGCGAGCATGCCGAGAGGAATACGGGGTGCGCTTCTGACCACACTTAATAATTAGCAGTAAAACCTGGCCACCTGAAAAATACATGAAGGAAGAGCCATTAAGTGGGCCTCCACATGGGCATTAGTTTGGTCTCGCGCTTCACTTGATTTTACATCAAAAAGTGTTCCCGTGTTTCACCTGCGGGCAGCGCACGGTTATTTTGATGCAAAAGCATAAAGGGGACCCTTTGCGTTCAGAAGTGCTAATGTTTATGCATCATGCCTGCGAGCATCCACGGAAAAGGGAATAAAAAACACGCAACACGCCGCTCTCTGTAAGAGAGAAAGAGTTGCTTCTGGTTTGTTTGGGTTTTTTTGTTGATGTTGTTGCCGCCACGCAAAGGGATTGCGAGGAACGGCGTTCGTGTGCGGCCCGTTCTTGGACTGTTGATGTTCACAACCGGCTCGCTGCTGCTGCTGATATCATCGCACCGACACAGACCGCGCGACACCCCAATCGCAACACAAGTAGGTGGATACACGGTAAATATAACGCGTGGCAGGTGCGCAGTGGTTAGCGCGTGCTGCGAACCTGCATACCCGAGTTTGATTCCTGGCTAAAACACGGACGAGAGGGGCCGAGTGTCAAATTCATCCTGTCATCCGCTATTTGAGGGCGGATAACAAGAAGACCCTTATCGTGCTGTTGATACTGTCGCTGCTGCTGCTGCAGCTGATCATGATGATGATGGCCATCATCATCATTGTACCGTTGCTGTTACTGGCGACGCTAATGATAATCGATTATGACCATCATCATCTGGTAACGGGAACGTGATTAAGTAGTTTCTGCAAACGTTACATTCATCGTATTGCCCACGTCAAAAAAAAATAGACGCAGACACGAGGAACCGAGCAGGACAATATGCGTCGTATTATTCCTGGAAAACCGCAGAATCAGAGATATCACTCGAAATTGTCAAAAAAAGACCAACTCACGCCGCGTTTTAGCCGCGCTCTCCCTCCACAAGATAAGAGGAGTGATTTGCGTGTATAACAGGACCCACATCATCACTTCGGATCACAGGGGTTCTGCGTTGCACGCTAACAAACACCCGGGGAGAGGAGGCGGGGGAGGGGGGGGTGTTTCATGCAGACCGGTCGATCGCTGCCCCTTGGGTCGGCGCGCGGGGGGTCCGGAGGGGGGGTCGGGGTGGGGGGGGCGGCGCGGGTGGGGGGGGAGGGGTCGTGGGGCGGCGGGCGCGTCACTCACCGACGGACGGCTCTCAAGACCACCAAGTGCAATCACGGAGGGCATCCGCCGCCGCGTGGCTCACTCGCTCTCTCGCTCTCTCGACGGGCCCGGCACGTCGCGCTAATCCCGGCGGGGCCGCGGCGGCGGCGGGGAGACATCGACTTACCGTCGTCGCCAGGGCCATCGTGCTTGATAGCCGTCACTGTCGTTATCGTCATCATCGTTATCATCAGCCGTGGTCGATCCGCTGCTGGACGAAGGCCTCGTTCGCCCCTCCCCGCACCACGTCTCACCCAAGCTGTAACCATCTTTCGCGATCCTGTGATGGTAGTAGCACACGAGCTGACTTTGTCGTTAAAGCTCCAAAATAATGATGAATGATGCATTGCAGTCTTTTTGTCACATTCACTGATGGATGTAGGCCACTCCACACCGCATCGGCCATGAGGGGTGTTTGACCATACTTCACCACGCCGGTTGGCGCGGTTGACGATTTGAAAGGTGGCCAGTATCGGTTAGAATAAATCACTCAATAATGATTTGAGGCAAAGTCAAGAATCGAACTCGCCGGCACCGCGCCCACAACTCCCCACCATTAATAATTCATACGCTACACAATGCTTGAAATGTTAATAATTAATAATAATAATTAATACATTACACAAGGGTTGAATGCGTTTCGTTCAATGCAACATTGTGTAATATTTAATTACTCTATGACCATTCAATTATTATATTCCAATTATACTTTAATTAACTCCGCAAGGGCCCCATAGACATGCATGAGCTACGTAAACCTGTGCTTAAATAACGATGGTTCTTGGTGTAGCAGTCACCTTCCGTTGACGAGGTGCGAGCCCCGTTGGCGTGACTAGTTGTCAATCCACCGCTGGACGAGGTTCCTCGCGCCCCGGGCTCTGCGTGGGGACAATTCAGCGGCCGTTTCAGAATCCTCGACCACGTTGATCGGAAAAAGCAGAGAGACACAGATGTGGACGCAGAGAAGCACGGTGCAACAGCGCACTTTGCAGCACTGACTGCTGCTGCCATGGGAGTCCGTTTGACCATGGAAGTCCAGTTTACCGTGGTGAACTGGACCAAATTGAACTCCCATGGTAAAATGGGCTTCCATGGTGAACTGAACTTCGGAGCCAAAAGGGCCTATTGACACCTGTTATGCACGGTGGTCACATGTCAAATCAACAAAAGCACTATTCCAGGCTCAACGCTTGCTTGGCTTGCGAGCTCTAACGAGATCGGGTGCATTGCCTGGGGGGCGATGCAGTTGCCGTTACCCCTCGCGATTTGACTGCGGGAATTTTTGCTGTCCGTCACATTGGCTTCGTTTCCCCACCCTCCTCGGATGAACCTTTTGTCATTCGAGGACAGATAGGTAGAAGAATAGGTTTGTGGCAAGGCACGTGTAAAGGGGAGATGCCCATCCAGAATCAGAATCAGTATTTATACTTGAGGAATCCGATGAGCTATAAAGCTCTTTGTCACAGATCCTCGCCCACCTACCCCCCCCCCCCCCCCCCACGGCTGGGGTACCAACGCAACCTCGCCAAATATTTGAGCCACTGCTCTTCGCTATGTCTCTAACAATTCGGCTACAGATTTTGGGTGCTGGGAGTGGTGCCCAGGGCAGCCTGCCACCCCATTCGCCCGTCCCTGCCCATACCCACCCCTTGCAATATTTTGCTGTCTTTTCTTGGATTTTCTGTTTGCACTTAGTCACATATTCACTTTAAGATGTCTTTTTTGTTCTTGTTTTTGGTTTTTGTTTGTTGCGGTTGCACCCGATTCAAGAGCCGAATGGCTCACAGGGCTATACCTAATACATGAACTTGAACTTGCTGTGGGACCTGGCTGTGGGTGCGGTGTTGAGTAATCGTCCAGTGTCCTTTTTGTCTCCGGTCATCCACTGCTACCAAGCCGGAACATGGTGCCCCACCTACCCATTAGGGATTGATTGTGGGGGGGGGGGGGGTGGCTTCCAACGTGGCTTCCGCACATCTCCTGCCAACTTGGGTGAGCGGACCTCTTCCCTGACCTTGTCACAAGTTCCGGCGAGAGGCGACCTGCGCGGGTGGGCGAGGTGGGGCCGGGAGGGGTTTGTGTGTGAGTGACGCCAGTGGCAGCTTCAGGCACAAGCAAAAAAAATACTAAAAGGAGCAAAAAAAGCTTTGGGGGCCCCAAGCGGCTCATGGGGGCCGCAGATTTTAACGCGCAAGGAATGCGGGCGGCGTCAAATGTCAGATCAAATTGAAATGCTCGGAAGCGGCTAATTAACACAAACGCCAATTGATATCTCTCTCTCGTCTGCATCGCTCTCTTCTCTCATCTCGTTACATCTCTATCTTGTCTACGCTTCTCCTATCGCACTGCATCTCTCGTCAACATCTCTTCTGTCATCTCACTCATTGAATGGGTGGGTGGGGGGGCACAATATAATTTCCGCTTTCCCCAATGAGCCAGCACCACCGCTGCTTGACGTGCTCATTGCGACACAAACCCCGGGGCTATCTTTGGGTTTGCGTCCAAATTCATGCCCCTTCTACGATGTCAGAGTGTTACGCTCACAATAACTTTGCCACCTGTCCCCTGGTTTGTTTCCCAGGATCGTTCCTTGTTGTTTTGACGCAACCGCCCTGGGAAGTCGGAAAGTCTTCCGGGACGTTAAGAGTCCTGTGTTTTTTTTTGCCAGCTGCGTTGATAATCTGCTGCTCAAGACGACGCGTGGAACACGCAGCTCTTTCCCCTTACGACACCATCCGGGAATTCATCTTCCCCACGACGTGTCACCCACCCCCCCCCCCGGCTTTTGTACCTCAAGAGGTGGCAACCCTAGGATGGCCCACCGCGCGCACTCGTCAACTTTGTCTGCGGGCTGCCTCTGCGGGGAATTCCGTCGATGCGGGGATTCTGGCTCGTGCCCAGTTTCTGTCCGTTTAACGTGCACGGTCGTGGCAATGCCTGGCAACATTTTTTTTGGGTTCATTTTAAAAGAAGTGATCGTATTAAAAATTTCCGCTTTTTCTGAGCCGCAGGGTAATTGTGCCGGCCTGTCCCGCTTGCAACCATTAAAGAACCCCCCCCCCACCACCACCACCACCAATGTTGTCACGTCCCGCAGCTCCACCGACCGGTCTGCTTTTTGTCCGCCGGTCTACCGAGACCCTCGGGTTGTTGTAGGGGCCGGAAAGAGAGAAGCCCAAATTGTCAAACATTTAACTTCCAAACCGGAACGATATTTGGTGGAGCCTGCACGCTGTTACTCACGGGGCACGGAAAAAAGAAAAATAAATTATTGACTGTGCTTGCCCCTAGCAGAGGTCCCTTGGCAAACGGCAGCCAGGCCTCTAGGGGGGAAATATAATAATATTTTTACCACTATGATGGATGGTGTTTACAAGGCATAGGAATGCAGCACTCAATGGGACCTGTCGTTTCTCCCTCCAACTTGCCTCCTGCACAAATCCTTCTTGTTTAAACATGTACATGGCACACACATGGACACCCTGCACCCCCCCCCCCCGTCTCCATCATCGCCAGTACCTACGCCGTCCTCCTCCACCCACCCCATCCACCCACGCAACCACCCACTCCATTCACCCACGCAACCACCCACCCACGCAACCACCCATCCGCCCACCGCACCCACCCACGCAACCACCCGTCCGCCCACCGCACCCCACAGAAGCCCGGATACATCCCCTGCAACCTCCGTGTCTCCTCCCCATCTCAATCCAAGCTCCCCGAACCCTCGCCCGGTAATGCGGGCGACGAAGACCGCGTTTCCACATTTCGTTTTACTTCATTCGTGGGGTGCGGGGGCGGTGGGTGGAGGGTGGTTACCACTCCTACCCACTGCAGAAGCAAGCTACCAGGGGGAGCTGGAGTTATAGGCCTGCAGGTTGAACAATATTTGTGTTGTAAGCTATACAGTTCAAGCTCCGCCACATTTGCGAAAGGGGTTAAGGTAATGTAATTAGCATAACACATAGGCTTTTAAAACAGTATTTTGATTCCAACCACTGGTGTGTACTTGTAGCTTCAGCCTGCAGGGATGAAAGTTAAACTGTGCTCTTGTAAGTCCAGGAAGTCGAGTGAATAATTACTCTGTTGCCTTTTCAGAAATCTGGCCTAAAGTTTAAGGTTTGCGCCAACTTGTAAAAAATACAAAATAATCAGTTAGAAATAAAATAAAAAGAGAGTAAAATATACAAGATCTTTACGAATGTTTGCCGAGTGTTTTGTCATGCGCATCTACTCCACGCTGTCTCATAATGGCCCGGTTAGTGGTCATAAGCATGCCTCAGTTTGGGCCTCTGAGCTTGAGATACTTGATTGGATAAAACCCAGGCTGGTCATCAGGAAATGTAAACAAAAAATGTGACCCATCAACCAGGCCTCTTCGGTTTGGTTTTCATGGCTCAGCGGCATCAATGCGCAAATTATGCGCACGAGAGTAGAACGAGTGAACAATCCAGGGGTGCGGCGGAAAATTAACGGGCAAATTTAGTTTTTTGTTCATCGGAAGGGAAGAAAAAAACATCGCAAATAAAATAAGCAGCAGCGGCAGGAGCACGCGGAGCGAAACGTCGGGACATCATACCGAATGATTGCGTGGCACCAACCCGGGAGACGCATCGGAGGACCATACAGCAGCAGCACCAATTGCAAAAAATCCACGCAGTGGTGCCTAAAAAATGCAACTGGAGATTGTACGCGCAGCCACAGTTAACGGTCTTGATGTATCATACCATTTTACGACGACAAACAGGCTTCACGTAAATCAACAGGCTTATTGACAAATTTTAAATTCTACGAGCAAATCTTACGTTGTACGTTATATACAGCGCTGTTAACCAGGAGCAGACGTCGCCCCGCGTTACATCGCCTTCAATGTCATACTCCGTGGGAGACGAATTGACCGGGGGTCACTGCCGGGCACCGTGTATTTGTAAGTGTTCAGCACGAGGTTTGAAAGCAATGATCCAGCCCCACGAGCGAAAGCAAGCAACCTTCGGGCTGCAGTCTTGGCAGACAAGAGGAGGGGGAAGATTGTGCCCCAAAAGGACGACCACGGCGGAGATGGAGGTAAAAGTGGTAAAAGATCGGTCCGCGTGCAGGAGGGAGCAAGACGGGCGGTCGCGGCGCTGTACAGTGAGGGATGGTGCTGGCGTGGACGGGCCTTCATCCAGCAGTGGAGAAACAGCGGCTGAAAATGATGATGAAATTTAAACATTTTGGTCTTTCTGTTTTTAATAGATAAAAGGACAGAGTTGACATCATTCGTCACTAATTTCAGCAAATCTCTCCCTTTTAGGACGACGTCAGAATACACGGCAGCCACTCGGGCATTTAGTGGGCGATTTCCCGCGATGACACATATTGTAAACTTTTAAAAAATCAACAACTAAATGCTCCTCGCCTTCATATGCAAGCACCAAGAAGCGACTCTCTCGCGACAAGTGCCGCTGCGAGACCACACACCGCGTGCTAACGCGACGGTCAACAACAGGGCTCACTTTATCGTCCATCCCGAGTACACTCCCCACCCCGGGCACAAGCCATTACACCAACCCTCAGGCGCTGCTGGATCGTGCTGCAAAAAGCACAACGTAAAAAATAAACCCAAAAAACAAAACAAACGCCAATGACCGCACAATCTGTCTCTGAAATAAATGGAAGGGAACAAGGGGGGGGGGGGGGGTACGTCCACCAGGGGAGACAGAGCGATCAGATCATATCGCGTTCAGGTGCAAGGCGAATTATCGCGTCGTTGGATCGTGACAGATGTCGCTTTTTTGTTGTTGTTGCGGCTTGGGCGAGTGCCTTCATCCAGCGTCGGATCGACCAAGACCGGAGGTCCCTTAAAATTAGAACGCGCTT